ATTAAAGCTCTGGAGCTGTCGGGCTCTCCGGTCCCACCAGAACTGGAGCAGCTTTGGGCCTCTTTCAAAGACCAACAGAAAGCGGTAAGATAAAGACCCACAGTAGGCAATTGTATATTTTAGCATTACTTACTGCCAGGGAGAAACGTATGTTGAAGTTTCTGAAGGTATTAGCAACGTCTTTCTGCACATGTAATGCATCAGCTTAAATATCGTGTTCATTTTTATGCTTTCCTTACAGTTACATGGTGCTTTTATACTTCATGTTTCATTTATTTATCGTTTTCTTTTATTATAAATACTTAACATTAATTGGGATAAAATTTGATTGATCTTTGGTGTCTCAGTTAGTAAGCAGATTAAAAAAGATCTAGAAAGACAATGTGACAAACTTATAAGCTTCTTTCTTTCCTCCCTCTGTGCAGGAGGGTAAGACCATTAAGAGCAGCAGTGGTTTCTCAGGAAAAGGCTTCAAGTTTGATGAGACTGAGCATGCTCTGGCCAATGAGAGGAAGAAGCTGCAGAAAGCTGCTCTCGGTTTGCAGGACTCTGACGATGAGGACGGAGCCCTGGATGTGAGTAACTTTTAAATAATGGAGATTTAAATTTCTTATTTAAATTATTTACTTACCTCTGCTAAACTGCTTGGCTTCTTATAAGTTTTTTTGTCCTCTAATTGCAGTTATATAATTACTAAACATGTTTAACTGTTATTCCTTCTTAGATTGAGGAGCAAATTGAAAGTATGTTTAACTCCAAGAAGAGGGTGAAGGATCTGTCTGCTCCCGGCGCGGCTGCTGGTCCAGCTGGAGCTGTTGCCGCCACAGCGGCCGCCCCCGGTGGTTTGCCAGGACTCGGGCCTACGTCTGCTGGTAACATCCAGAAATTGGAAATGGCCAAAAGGCTGGCGCTCAAGATCAACGCTCAGAAGAACCTGGGCGCTGAGGCTCAGGTACGTCAAGACTCCAGTGCCACCGTGAATTGGACGGTTGTGCACGTATTCATGACACAGCTGAGATTGCGGGACTTGTGATTTTTCAGACTAACCACTTAGGTTTCATTTTTATTGTGTCCAATACTTAGGTTTGAGTTTACAACCCACAAAAATCCTCAGACCTCAGCTGGTAATTAAAACTTTGTTTGCATTGTGACAATTACAATTACTCTGTGTCTACAGGATGTGATGCAACAGGCAACCAACGCCATCCTGCGGGGCGGCACCATCATGACCCCCTCAGTGTCAGCCAAAACCATCGCGGAGCAGCTGGCAGAAAAGATCAATGCAAAGCTCAACTACACCCCGGTGGAGAAGCTGGAGGAGGAGCGGCAGGCGGCTGAGCAGGCTGAGACAGTCAGGAGATATGAAGAGGAGCTGGAGATCAACGACTTCCCTCAGGTCAGCGGCTGTACTGAAATATTTAGCAAGGATCAGTTTTATTTTTGCTCTTTGTTTTTTGGACTCAGGTTTTCTTTTCACAGCCGCTGGGGTTCAGTAGTTTAACTCGACTAAGTCATTTCCCCAAAACAGCATAGGGAAGGAATCATGAATCTGGATGTTGTTGCTGTGTATTGTCACCAGGGGTCTGTGTCAATAATATGGGGATCAGCTGTCTGCATGCTAGCTTATTTCTGTTTGTGCTGTTGTTGGATTGTTAGCTTAGCCCGTGCCGCTGATAAGCCAAGCCAACTTCATTTAAAGCACTTTAAAAAACAGCAACCACTGATAAAACCTCTGGATACAAAAATAAAGATATGTTAGAATAAAATAAATAGAATTAAAATTACAATGTAAAACAAAAGCATCAAGACAGAGTTAAACACGAGTAAAACTTTAAAATCAAAAAGTAAAATCATCACACTTGGGGAAAAGCCAAGATGAAGAGGTGGGTCATAAGCGCAAACTGGTAGTGAAGAGGCCTGTCTTTTTAACAGCAAAGAATTCCTCAGTTTGGGAGCCGCCATGGCAAATCCCTGTTCTCCCGAGCCTCCACTGTGTCCTCGGCACATCCAGGAGCAGCTGGTCTGCTGATTTGAGCAACTGGGAAGTACAACAGCTCAGAGGTCGTGTGGGGCAAGGCCGTGTAAGGACTTAAAAATGAGTAAAAGACCAAACAGAAGACAAAACCAAAACATAAAACAAACTTTTGCTTTTGCAGTTTTTTTCCTGACTACTTCCTGTTAAACTGAGCTCTACTATTGCTCCCTTTGTTTTTCAAGCCCACTTTAAAAAACAAACACAAAAACTATTATTATTTAAAACTTTTCAGCAAATTTACAGACATGTAAGACTAACCTGCAGCTACCTGGTTATCCATACATTTGTATATAAATAAATAATGCGTGATGGGGAAATCTAAGGATCATAATACATCATAAGGTGATGAAACAACATCATCAATATGATTATTTATTGATTCCTTTGGTGGAAAGTTATCCAGATATAAGGTCATATGTGAGTGTTGACGATCCACCCTGTCACACCCTGTCTGTTTCCATCCAGTAGTTTTGCATGTGTTGACATTCCCAGCAGACATAATGCTCTGCAGTTTGGGAGCCACAATTCCTCCAACACCCAGATTTACCATCATTTAAGTGTACTTTCATGTGGGGAGTAATAACAAAAATCCAGCAAAATTCCTTCAAAAGTTATTTTTCCTCCCAAATGCACAGATATCCTGTCATTCTTTTTGCATTGTTGTAAGACCTCCTTCTTCTCTCATCTTGCTTTTTTATACGTTGAGTTGAGTGAACGTTGCTAAAACCCCTATAAAACTGAGAGATGATTCCCATTTTTAGAGTCTGCTCACTTTTTAGTCTGCAGGCATTCTACCTATACATACCAGAAGTTCCACTTTACACGTCTTTGAGTGTTTTCTTTGCTTTCTTTTTAGTGATTTGCACACCACACCAAACCCATCTCCTGGTTGTGGTTTCAAGTGAAACGGGTTCAAGTTTTTCTGGCAGAGACGTTGTTGCTCTAAGTGTTTATGTAAGACTTACACTGTCGCTTTTTTTAGCAATGCAATTTCAGATTTAAAGTTGGAAAGCCAGTTGTACTTTTTTTTTTTTTAAAACATCTGTGAATGTTTTAAAATGTTCCTGATTTGCTTACACGTAAGTCTTGATTATTCTCCATTGCGAACACGGACGCAGACAGCTGGAGACCTGAGGGCCTAGTAGTCATTCATTCCTGTTATACCCCTTTAAAATCCACCTCCGGCGTGTAGTTGGTGCATCATGATGTAAAGTCTAACATATGCAAATTTGAGTGGAAAATTAAGCAAATCCATCTATTAAAAAATACTTGACATTTAAATCCTCGACTTCTTTAAGCTACTAAGAAAATAACTTTCTTTTAATCTCTGATTAAAAAAGCTAAGCTGTTCGAATTTTTGGCAAAATGTTTATGCTCAATACAAATGCTTTTTGTCCGGGAGAGGGGCTTATCTTTTAGATGACAGATGCTTAAACTGAGCGTTTTGTGGTTTTTGTCACGACTGATTAACAATCAAGAATCCCAAAGTATTTTGTTTCTTCCTCTGAACATAAAGCAGACAAAAAAGGCCTTATAAAATCGTCCTTTTCTTCCTTCCCTCAGACTGCCAGGTGGAAGGTGACATCTAAAGAAGCTTTGCAGAGGATCGGTGAATACTCTGAAGCTGCCATCACCATCAGAGGAACGTACTTCCCTCCAGGCAAAGAGCCCAAGGAAGGAGAGCGCAAAATCTACCTGGCTATTGAGAGTATGTGTCAAAGAACGTCTGTCCTTTTTTTTTAAAAGTCCTGACACCTGATATAACAAGATATTTTTAGGGCAGCTGTACAATTGCTGAACTCTAAGGTTCAGTGAACAGGAACAATGAACATGATAACTTGAGAACAGCACAATGCAGGAAGTTTATAAACTAGTTATCACACGGAGCAGATAATCTTGACTTTTCAAGTTTTAAAGAAGGAAAAAAAGCTTTTGTTGGCTTAAATCATGCTGTTAAAAGTGCCTCTTGCAAAATACAACTCCTCCCTCTATTTTGGTAGTTTTTTTAAATTACCTTTAAGGCAACGAATTTCCTAATGGAGTGTCCAGTTTCCTTAACAGAGCAGCCTATACTGAATATTAACATGTTGTTTGTGTTGTAGGTGCAAATGAACTGGCTGTGCAGAAAGCCAAAACAGAAATTACACGGCTAATCAAGGAAGAGCTCATCCGATTAGTAAGTATCTTTTTGCTCACACATGTTAAAACATGTCATCCACTCTTATTATGCAGTGACTTTATGCCAAAAATGTTTAATTTTATTTCCCGTTTCTTTCTTTCCCCCCCCCCAGCAAAACTCCTACCAGCCGACGAGCAAAGGCCGGTACAAAGTGCTGTAGAGGATGAACCGAGGCACACCGGAGGAGCTTCCATTCCTCATCTCCACAGTTTCATCCAAGTTGTTGAAGAATATTTTAGTCAATATTTTTTTTGTAATGTGTCCAACTTTAGTTGTATTTTGTTTGTTAGCATTTTTGACCCCC